TTTTACAGGTTCGCTGAACACATGCACGAAGTTCATGGTCAGTGAATGAGGGACATGATGTCGCTAAGTCAAGTAGATTATCTAAAAGGAGAGGGTATCTTCCCAGAACGTAAATAGCAGAGGAGACCAGCGCAGAAAGATTTTTGTAAATTTAACTATATTTTGGGTAATCTTAAGGGGTTATCCTGTGAAAGGGACGGATAGAGTCTGGATGGAATCATATATTGCGACGGAGATTTAACCGTTTTGGAGGCTGAAATGCTTACAGAATTAGTTCGGGAATATGATCATCGGCTTGTTTCTCATTGAGCAAGAACATTCTATAGAAATGAAATCCTTTAAATGCTTGCAGAATTGGGTCAAAAGGTTCGTAGGTTTGTTTCTCAATCAGAGAGAAAAGTCTCCAGAAATAACGTGACAACCACTTGCATCGTTGTTCAACAATTTTGTTGGCCAAGGAAATGCAAGGATTAACAAGTCCACTTCCTCAAATAAAATTAAGGAAGCGACATGATTTGAACATCGTGAAACATCTTCCATTTCGTCGTCACTGCATGCGTACCGCTATTCGCTTGAACATTCCACGGAGGTCTTGTTAATTTCTCTCCCCCTTCGGGTACTCCCGTTCTTACTTCCCAGGGAAACAGAAAGGTGTGGTAAGGAGAAAATATTATGGAGTCGTCAAGATTCCGTAAGGTAATTGACTGAGTCCGCGGTGTTTGAGATGAATTTCGCTATGCAACGGGGCTTTATCCCATGACAGCAAGCTAATGTAATTGGGGTAATTTGGCGGGGGGTAGGGGGGGGGGGTAATTGTGCTGCTTTTCGATTGGAGAGAAACTGAAATTCTTCCGTTGCGTCAACGAAGATAGGTGTAACTACACTAGCACGAGTACAAGCGAGTTGTTGGTAAATAAGTTTGGAAGCAAATAACGCTGTGTTTTCATGGGGAATGTTTTAATTTAGTACAAATTGCCTTTGTTCAAGATCAGTAGCGGGCTCCTACTGTCAAATCGAAACCAAAATTGAATTATATTAGATTTTTAGCATGGAAGGTCCTGAAGTAAGAGTGGTTAAAATGGAAACCCTTCCATTCTTACATAGACGGTAGTAATTGTGTTCTAGATTAGAACATGAGAACAGTGCAGAAAGGTTAAACAGTCGGATGAAAAGCAAAATATTTGAAAAGTGTTTTCAGATATTTTTGTTGTGGGATATAAAGACAAATTTAGTCATAAGAACATCACCTAATTGAAAAGGGGCAAACTCACGTGTCACGTGCAAATAAATCAGAATTAAATTTTCCCGAGACCAATTGAACTCTCCATGATCTCCAGGATAACGATTGTGTTTGAATGTTCAACCAGCGACCAACTACACAGGGCACCATCTATGGTTACGTTTCTCGAGTAGCATTAAAAACGTGATATCCCCAGGGTGTTCTCACAAAACTATACAGTGCATGGCGGTATTAGAGGAATCTTTAGATTGGTGGGGTACATTTACATTTTGTAAAGAGAACACATGAAACGTTGTAAATAAAATTCATAAATCATGGTAACATATTTCACCTTCAGCCGCTATGAATTTGT